AAGCAATGCATCAGAGTCAGGTATTTTTATATCTTTCTATCTTTTTTATTTTTATAATTTTTCCTATATTAATATTTATACTAAAAATTAATATATTTTATTGTACAGCCGCCGACAATGCAGACATCGATGTACCTATGGATACAACACAAGCAAATACTTTAAGTCTTGAGAATTCAAAGACATCCTCTTCTCGTAATGGTAAGTCGAGCAGATGTTTAATTTTGCTATAATAAGACGAATATTTTAATTCATAGATTGATCAATATCTTATTATATGCACACAAAAAACCAACTTTGCTCAATAAAAACTGCATTTGCTGTCTATACGAGCTCGTATATATAATATGTGATTGATTAATCTGTGATTAATTAATATAAATTAAAAAACGTCTATACTTATGTTTTATTATTTTTTTTTTTAGACGAAGAGAAAACTGCACTTCCATTGCTGAGTGAGAGTTTAGTATTAGATAACTTATGGGAAACTCTTAGCGCTTGCTTGCTTGAATTAGAATACACTCCTGATCACCATGCCGTCCTTGTTTTACAGGTAAAAAGTTTAAATTTATTACATTTTAGGAGCTTACTATCACCGAATTATTGTATTGTTATTGTACTGATCATTACATTATTTTCGGTATAAACATAAATTATATTTAACATTGTAGCCTGCAGTAGAAGCATTCTTCTTGGTGCACTCATCTTCAAGTACGTCTCGAGATCGTGACAGTCGTCTTAACACAACTAGTGAGAATCGAGAAGTGGTACCAGACTTAGCACCAGTCTCTCCAATATATTCGGACAATGAAGGTACTTCTCAGTCGGAAGCTCCCACTAATGCTTCTTGGGATATCACACCAGCCCCGCAGAAAACATTACCACCGGATCAACTAAAGTTCCTCAAATTTGCCGGTACATATTAACTAATGATGAAGCCATAGTTATTATTATTTATTTAATGTAATATATATCTTATTCGCACAGAAACACACAGAACCGTGCTCAATCAAATTCTACGACAAACGACTACACACTTAGCAGATGGACCATTTTCTGTATTGGTGGATCACACAAGAGTGTTAGACTTCGATGTGAAGAGACGTTACTTCAGAACAGAATTAGAACGGATGGATGAGGGTATACGTAGGGAAGAACTGGCAGTTCATGTTCGTAGGAGTCACGTTTTCGAAGATTCATTCAGGGAGCTTCACCGAAGAAATGCTGATGAATGGAAAAATCGCTTTTATATCGTCTTCGAAGGTGCAGATTCCTAATATTTATTCTGATAAGCTTGTACAAACTTCATAAATATCGCAAGCACTAAGTAATATTTTACTTTTCAATTTAAAAGGTGAGGAAGGGCAAGATGCGGGAGGATTGCTGCGGGAATGGTATGTCATCATTTCGAGGGAAATCTTCAATCCAATGTACGCTCTGTTCACCGTTAGCCCTGGCGATAGAGTAACATACATGATAAATTCATCTTCACACTGTAATCCCAATCATTTGTGTTATTATAAATTTGTCGGTCGAGTAATTGGTAAGTATTCGATTTGATTTTCAACGGAGATTAGATACAAGAAATAATTCTAAAATTATATAATATTCTCATGTTATTTTTGTAGCTAAGGCTATTTATGACAACAAATTATTAGAATGCTATTTCACGCGTAGTTTCTATAAACATATACTTGGCATACTCGTAAAACATACCGATATGGAAAGTGAGGATTATAGTTTTTATAAAGGACTCGTTTATCTTACGGAACATAATATTTCCGACTTGGGGTACGAGTTAACGTTCTCCACGGAGGTAAAGAACAATTATTTCAACATAATTTTTGGCTTTGTATTTCAATTACTAAATATACGTGTTACTTCTAGGTGAACGAATTTGGTGTCAATGACGTGCGAGATTTAATACCAAATGGACGCAATATAATTGTTACAGAAGAGACCAAACTTGAATATATTAGGCTCGTATGTCAAATGAAGATGACTGGAGCAATTCGTAAACAGTAAGTGGATTTAAAGTTTTGAAATCGAGTAAAAAGAGTATTATTGTTTAATTATTTTATCCTATTTTTACATCTTAAATCTTCCTCCATAGATTAAATGCATTCTTGGAAGGCTTTTATGATATTATACCTAAACGACTGATCTCTATATTTAATGAACAAGAACTTGAATTATTGATCAGTGGCTTGCCTAATGTAGATATTGAAGATCTTAAAGCAAATACCGAGTACCATAAATATACTGCTACGTCTTTACAGGTATATTTTGCATATCATATTTGAAAGGATTGTATTTTATATCATGTATATATTTTATCATTTTTTCCAAAATACAGATTCAGTGGTTCTGGCGTGCATTACGAGGTTTTGATCAGGCAGATCGTGCCAAGTTCTTACAATTCGTTACTGGTACGTCCAAAGTGCCGCTACAAGGTTTCGCCGCGTTAGAAGGCATGAACGGTGTACAAAAGTTCCAAATTCACAGAGAAGATAGATCAACAGACAGGCTTCCATCTGCCCATACTTGGTAATTATACGAAAAGAAAATCTTTTTGTTTACATGTTCTCAAACATATAAGCTAAAATTAAATCGATCGCAAATTTACGAGATTAAAACTGTATTCTCTAATTGTAGTTTCAATCAACTGGATCTACCAGTGTACGAGACATATGATAAATTACGTACAAATCTACTCAAGGCAATTCACGAATGCAGTGAAGGATTTGGATTTGCATAAGCTTACTGAAATGCTGTTGTCGTATATTGTAGCAGTTTATCATGTGTTATTCTGCCTGTTCAGAGTAAAGTACATTACGAGAACTCGCTCCTTACATAATCACGCGTTTATGCGGTCACGCGTCCAGTTCACGGTGACGTTCTGGTGACACGCTTGGTCTTCATTCAAGATCTAATGGAAAATTCGATATATACATATAGACGTACGGATATGTATATACGTATAACTAATTCTGATGTAATTACGTGAGAATAACTGTCAATGATACCCGAAGCTAGGGTTTATTTTGTTGAAGAGGATCTTGGAAGAAGATGCTGAGCTTAACGATAATTCCCAACAAAGAAAGATAAGGAGAGATTAGTTCAGTTTTACGCGATAAGGATAAGCTAAAGATAAGATTCACACATAATTGTAATAGTTAGATACATTAGTTTGTCATAAGAAATAATATAGGATGAAAAAATGTAATATACTGCACTTTGAAGTCAGCGATGTTTTAACCGGTTCGATAGATTGAATAGAGATACAGAGCGGTGGTAACGATAATCTGGTTCTTTACCAGAAAAAAAGCAGCAAAAGTATAAGTCGATGAATGCTTGTGAGAATGAAAGAGAAATATGAGAGAGAGAGAGAGAGAGAGAGAAAATTTAATCGAGAGATACTGAGCCTAATTAAAAGATTTCAATATGAATGCTGTCCTTCCCTAAAAACTGTATGGTTGTACGCACTATTAGTATTAATAATTGTAACTAATTCTTAATTATAGTAATCATTAAATATCGTTTTAATATTAATCATTCTCGAAATGTGATGTTAAACAAGTGTAATTTCTTTTTCTTGAGATCTAACGAAATAAAATTTACAGTTGAACAGACGTTACTTCATAACACACATCGAATAATGGAATAATATTAGTGAAACACACCGCACACAGGTACCGTTATAGTTAGTTACGGAACTCCTTACGAAATTGTTAGGGAATTATTGATTAGAAATCGCAGAATAAAGTGAATGTTGTATTTCTTATAAAAAAAAACAAAGCAATTGCATTCTTTTATTATTGCACAGAGTCCTTAATTACTAACTCCGAGTTTCCTGAGTAGACAAATATCGATAACGCTGCGTAATATTACACTTTTTAGTCTCCCTTTAAAGCTAGTTTAAACTTTATGTATTATCAAATAAATTATTATTCGATTAATTACATGAGAATTAATGTATGCAACATGAAAATATATATTTCATATTTACAAAATTGTATAAGTGTAATAATAATCCATATTAGCAATTAGAGTACTGATCTACGCGTTCAGAAAGATATTTTGTTAACACTGCATATAATAATTATTTTAAGTATGTCATTTTCACAAGCAATACGTCATTGTATTGTACATTTGGAATGTTATCACTAGCTGCAAAGGCCCATCCATAAATGGAAGCAACAAGCGTTGACGAAACCTTCGACTAAGGCGTAGATGTCTTCCATATTTATTGGCATGTTAATCTCTGTTGATTTTCGATAAACTGCGCATAAATCCTAAAACGAATGTTAATGTTCAATTTCGTGTGATTATTTTTTTGTCTTATATTTCAAATCTCGCATTTGCAGTACTATTACATACCCCTCTCGATGTGTGCATATCGATGGTTAACATCATGAACGCTTGGACGAGAGTCGGATGCAATATGAGATGATGGGTGATATTTCCATCAGAAGTAATAAATTGCTTATGATGCTCTTGATATTTATTCTGTAACACTTTGGACAACGCCTGATACCATGATACTGGCTGATTAACGAACGGACCTAGTCTAGGATCCAGATTCGAAAGCGACTCAATGTGAGCTAACGAACAGAGCTCCTTGAACTCGGTGTATGCCATCGATGTTTTGTTCTCTAATAGTTTATCCCAAAGTAAGTGTGTTCGGCACTGCAACGCACCGCGCTCTACCATGTTCGTTATGTGCTGACGGGCAGCCTTCGCTTGAGCCATGATCATCTGTTGCATGAGCTGTTCGTGCGACGAATAATAGCCTAGGTAATTTACTGATTCCTGACGAATCTGCATCAAGTGCGGTGACGGTGATGACAACGACGACGATGACGACGATGATGATGATGATGACGAGGATGATGATGATGATGATGACGAGGATGATGAGGATGAGGATGAGGATGATGATGATGGTGATGATGATGATGATGATGATAATGATGATGATGATGGTGATGATGATGATGGTGGTGGTGGCGGCGGACTAGCGGCGTCCGAGACTGCACTCGGGAGATTGGAGTTTTGCGCTAAGGGAGAATTTGGGACCGGTGGAGGCGTTGGCGCCGAATTGTTGTGAACATTACAGTTTGACGTTTTGATATCAATATCTTTAGTAGTCACATCGCTCGAGAAACTCTTTTCCTGCTGATCGACGTTCGACATCTCTGTCCTGGTGTTGCATTTCGTAAACGGCGACATACGCAAAGCGGAACTAGATTCCATCGGGTTCTCCGTACACGAGCTGGTAGCAGGCTTCCCAACGCTGTACACAGTCCTAAATTTGCCTAGCTTATTATTCTCCACTTCCCTTTTTGGATATAATTCCCTCTTACTTGTCAACATTAGATAATACTTCAAAGTAATCTCAGTCTTCTCGATTTGCGATGACTGTTCCATGCGCGACACGATCAGTGCTACGTCGAAGTCGTCTGTACACTTTATATCGTGGGCGTCGCAATAACTAACCGAGGGAGTACTTTGCAGTTTAATTAGGACATATTCGTTGTCATGAGATTCCTGGAATTCGCCAGACATCACGAATACACGCATGCCGTATACCTTCTCATGTGAGAGCAAATAAGAATATAATGTACGTGCAGGTATCGCTATATCGCGTATTGTTATCACATCTAAAACAACAATGTTAAATGTATAGTGTTACGAAATAAACGAAGGTGACTTGGATCACTGATATGCGTTTTCAAAGCTTACCGCTGTATATCAGATTTCTGGCGTAATTTGGTGCTTTGCTGTAATATTTGATAAAGTCATCCATAAAATGAGTGAGGTGGTAACCTTGCTGCAAGGACCACAATCCAGTTCCAGCGATGTAGGAGTGAATACAACGTAAATGAAAATCATATGTAAACGAATGCAAATGCATGTTGATTTGAATCTTGTCACAAATGTCCACAAAACTTAGTACAAACTGTAATAAAGTAATACACTTGTAAATTAATTATCCTATGCATAATTCATGGGAAACAATTCAAATTTATCTTACTTGATTCATCATACCGCTACTCGTCTTCGTCTGTAAGCGATTGCACTCAATGATACGCAACTTCACGATGAAAAATGGCTGTGATAAGTGAACTTCGAACAGCAAAATGCCGCCCAGCATCGATTTTTTGAGATAATAAGACTGCTGTTGAGCATGCTCCTCGTTTCTGCAAAAGAAACGTAATGCACTTGTAAAAATATGCGCGTGTTCGTTAAATCAAAATCGAATAATTGAATTCGAACAAACGTTTTATGCGGTGATTCCACTTGGATTGGATTAAAGCCCAAAATTTGCAGATATTGTCTATATTCGGATAGCATTGATTTGCAGAGCTCTTGATGCCACTTTATCATAATTGTGTTTGTTGCTTCCTGTTTCGACTGCGTCGCTTGCGACGATTGTTCAATACCGTTCAAGCCAAAGTGAGATGACTGCGGCGGCGTCAATGAATGATCTCTTGTGGCGGCGGACTGCAAACGCCAGGCAGGCAAAAAGAGGAGCGGCGTATGGCAGAAATGTATTAAACGAGAGTATTGCTTGAACGTATTCAAAGCGTTCAGCGATATCGGTATATTAGACGTACGGCTCTGCCACATTGCATATAGTTTCTCCAAATCCTCTACAAATATATACATATCAGATTATATGTTACCGTAATCATTTGGATATTTATATTGGATACGCAAATTTAGTGATTGATTACCTTTGATTCTCTTTTCTCGATGTCGAAGATCCTGCAAATCGTAAGCAGCCTTTACAATCGTATCAGTCATGTTGTGAGGATGTGGAGCGCTTGGTTTTGCATCGCGCATCGCCTGCCCGACTATTTGAACCCACGAAAATGCGTTATTCTTCATCGACTGCGCTCGATTACTTGATCGCGCCCAGTCTTTACCAGGTAAGTCGGTATTTGATTGACTTGGAAATTTTGCTAAACTTTCCATATCATTGATCTGGTAATATTGAGAACTGTGCTCGACTCTTTGCTGAGATTCTCGAGTGAACTTATGATGAAATATACCCAATTTTTGCATGATTATGCTGGTAAATAGACTCGATCTAGAAGAGAGCCATGTTCCTAAACTTGTCGTTTGTTTGATCAGTTTTTCTGATTTTTCCTTGGACCAGTTGTACATATAAAGGATTATCTGAAAATATAATATAAAGTGAGCATTCAATCTTACTTACAAATGTTTTATAGTTGTGTTTCATAATAAACTCTAACATTATCACTTAATATTTCAACTAATAGTATCCTCTGCCTAGGCACAAAATTTGATTCCGATATAAGAGGATTAAATTTTTGTAATTGTTTTTGATCTGTAACATAAAATGTTAAAAGAATGAATAATGAGGTGTATAAGACTTGAGTTGAAATTAAATTCACCGACCTTTAGGAGCAAGCAGTTCCAGATCTAGTTCTTTACCCAAAGATGCCTTCCACTGATGAAAATTCCTCGCGACTAAAATACATTTGATATAAGTAGTTTGTTCTTCTTTGTTAAACTCATGCGGCACGTACACGGGTGAATTTGCGCTTTCTTGATCCGTATTTTCCGCTAACGACTGATCGGAACTGTTTCGAATGCTGTCAGACCATTTGGGTGCAGATCCAGTTTTATGCGAAATGATAAATTGATTTAGGAATGGTTGTCGATCTTGCAAAATAAAAACTTTGCTAGACGTGTCTGAATCCTGATTACGTATGAGATTCTGCAGCTCTCTCACGATCACGGGAATCGCATGCCTGTGGTGAATGATCACCTCGTGTTTTTTGACAGCAGGAACTCTCATTTCTAATGCAAATTGAAACCAGCGTGCTAGCGTAGTGTGATAAGTCCCATCCAATTTTCCTTTTTCGCCGAGCTCGTATTGATTGATTATTAAATTCTCGGAAACTTTTTGTGTTGACTGTGATGTTTTTACGAGTGTCTGAATTTCTTTATTTTCCGCTTCACCGACCGTTGCTGAAGAATCAATAATTGGTTCCGTCAACGGAGTCGCTAGAAGATTATACTCTGTGACTAAATCCCAAATGCCATGTTTCACAGCGGACGATAATTTTAGAATTAATGATTCCAGGTTGACTCTGCCTTGTTTCCAGATTCGAAATTCGATTAATGTTTGTGCGTTCGGTTTAGAATCACTTTTATAATCGTAAATGTTCGTCGATACGATGCTCTCGAAATTCTCAACTCTCAATAACTTAGGAAAGCTCGATTCGTCATTTAAATCATTTGAATACGTTGCGGATTCTCCTTTGCCGTCGGTAATAGCTAACGCGATGCAAGCTATACCTTTACTACCACTTGAATGGCTTTGATTGTATAAGAAGATATCGGATTCGGATACTTTCTTTCTGATACCATCTAACGGGGTGTAATCCTGAAAATGATAATGCGCACCAAGATCCGTATATTTTGGCGTATACAAGAATTGCAGTATATTCTGCCTCAAATAATATCCCAAAGCATCCATATATCGTAAGCAGTGTGGTTGTACCGACAATTGTACTATACATTCGGGAGACTTGTATGGTTTTTGTATGAAATGCACATCTGCCGGTGTCAGCTTACACATTGGGTTACGTGCCAACATCACGGACAGCACTTCTAGTACTGCATCATCAAGACGATTTTGCAATACTTGCACTAAATCCCGTTTGACTTCCGGACCGGCTTCTGATATCCCGTGTACCATCAGAATAATCGAATCATCAGTTTTGTTCAAAATATCAGACTCTTTTTCGCCAAATGA